CCCTGCCGGCGCCCCCGCCCCCGCCTAGGCCCCACACCCCGCAATTCTCGTGTCTATGAATTTGGGGGGTCGCCTTTAAAACCGGAAATGGCTTCCGCACGGAGCCTATTCCTGAGCACACAGGATGACCCACAGCGCTCTGCGCCCGCAGCAGCACAACCCACCCGGATCAGAGACTGATACTCCTCCTTGAGGCGCTGCACCCACAGCTCCCGATCGCGAGGTCCGGCATTAGTCTTCAGCACTGGGATCTCAGACACGACACGCCGGGTGGCCTCGTCCGCCATCTTGAACGAGGGCGCAAGAGAAACGCGGAAGTGGTTTGACGTGTCGTTTACTGTCAGGGCGCCGCCATCTTTACTACGGGAAGATGGGCAGTCGGGCAGCCTCAACGCTTCCTGGTATGCGATCTTGTTTCTAGCAGCTGGAGGGTGCTACGGGAAGAACAGATGCAAACCGATTGTTCTGCACTGAATATGGAGCCAATCAGTTAACACCCACACCCACCGACCCAGCCCACTGCGCAAAGCCTGACTTCCGATCATGCGCAGAGCAGTAACCGCAGGAACTCCCGGGCCTCCCGAGCCTGGAGCGCGGGGGGAAGTCAGGTCGCTCCGGGCTGTTCCGGGCGCTTTCTTCCCGACACTCCCGCGGCGCGCGTTTTCGCTTCCTTAACTTCCAAGTAATCGGCCTGAGGCCGCAGGGCCAAAGCGGTCATCCAAGAGGAGGGTGTTGGACTACCGGTCATCATTACAAACCTGAGACTCAAAGCGTGGTGTGTGGTCTCTGCCCAAAGAATTAACACAACGGGGCTAGGGAATTATTAGTAAGTGCTAAGGAGTTGAGAGGTCAGAGGAAGATGTGTTGAGTCTAGCATAGACATTTTTCTTTGGGGGGGGGAGGGTCTGGAATTGTCCCATCTAGGAAAGAATCATGTCTCTATCTCTAGTGCGTGGCTCTATCTCTATCTTCAAGTCCACAGGCTGACTACACAGTAGGTACCTAGTTATCCTTTTGCAGAATTTTGAATCTTCCAGTTGGTTTTTAAACCTAAACTCTTAATTTTGGCTTTAATTTACTGTTTACTCTGTTAGTTGTTCCAGCTTGTAGCAATAATTTAGGATCAGATTATTTTTTAAGATATATTTTTATTGGGTTGAGAGAGAGGAAGGGAGAGGGGGAGACACATAAATGATGAGAATCATTGATCAGCTTCCTCTGTACGTGCCCTACTGGGGATCTGTGACCTGGTTCATAGGTCCGAGCTCAACCACTGAGCCACACCCGCAGGGCTGGGATCAGATTCTATTAATCATCAAATTCTATAGTCAGTCGACATGTGATAAGCATACTATATGATAATTTTAAAAATATATATTTTTATTGATTTCAGAGAGGAAGGGAGAGGAAAGAAACATCAATGATGAGAGAGGATCTTTGAATGGCTGCCTCCTGCACGCCCCCTACTGGGGACTGCGCCCACAACGTGAGCATGTGCCCTTGGCTGTAATAGAACCCGGGACCCTTCAAGTCCACAGGCTGACTACTCTATCCACTGAGCCAAACCAGCTAGGGCTATTAATTTCTTTTTAAGATATATATTTTATATTGTTGACAGTATTACAGATGTGTCCCATGCCTTTCCCCCCCCTTCCACTCAGCCCCAACCGCCCCCCCCCACCCCAGATTTACACTACGCATATTGCCCCTGTCCATGGGCTATGCATATGTCTGTAAGTTCTTTGGTTTATCTCTCCTCATCCTTCCACCCTCACATCAAAGTATTTCAATCTGTTCCATGCCTCCATACTTTAGGTTACATATTAATTTCTAATAGCTGAAAACTCCAGTACAATGTTGAATAAAGCCTGAGAACAGACATCCTTGTCTTGTTCTGATTTTAGGGGGAAAACATTGTCTTTCTTCATTAAGTATAAGTTCCTAAGTTCCAAGGGCTCTTCCTCTGTTTCTGTAACTTGTTTCCTGAGGCCAGAGTCACTTCTTCCACCTCTGTAACTTTCTTTTTTTTTAAATATATTTTATTGATTTCTTACAGAGAGGAAGGGAGAGGGATAGAGAGCCAGAAACATCCATGAGAGAGAAACATGGATCAGCTGCCTCCTGCATGCCCCGCACTGGGGATGTGCCCGCAACCAAGGTACATGCCCTTGACTGGAATCGAACCCGGGACCCTTGAGTCCGCAGGCCGAAGCTTTATCCACTGAGCTAAACCGGTTCTGGCACCTCTGTAACTTTCTAAATAAACTCTCTCTTTTATAAAAAGAAGTGTGTGTGTGTGTATTGATTTCAGAGAGGAAAGGAGAGGGAGAAAAGAGAAACATCAGTTATGAGAATCATTGATCAGCTGCCTCCTGCACGCCTATACTGGGAATCCAGCCTGCAGACAACCTGGGCATGTGCCCTGACCGGGAATCAAACCATGATCAGGTCATAGGTCAACACTCAACCACTGGGCCATGCATGCTGGGCTAAACTTTCCTTATAATTTTTTATTTAAAAAAAAAAAAAATAGCCGAAACCGGTTTGGCTCAGTGGATAGAGCGTCGGCCTGCGGACTGAAGGGTCCCAGGTTCGATTCTGGTGAAGGGCATGTACCTGGGTTGCGGGCACATCCCCAGTAGGAGGTGTG